ATATTATCAAAAGCATGCTAAACATAACAGGTTAAAACAAGAAATGAAGACTACAACTGATACTGCAGGAAAAATCTGTGTAGGCAGAAACAGTCATCCCAGATGGGATTCATTCAGTATACTGCTGTTAGTTTTACCACCCACAGAATCCCTATTATCATTTCCTAGCAAACACACTTCATTAGCTCTGAAGAAATCTCTATTGTCTGTTCCAGCAGATAGCTGAAGTGAAGTTACTGTGATGATATGGGTATAAAAGGTCATGTCAATTAAAAAAAAGTAACTTTAGGTTTTTGAAGGTCATAATAATTAAAAAGTGTATTTACATTTGATGACAACCAATAATATAAATTGAAGAACAACTTCCAAATTTATCCTTTATTACTAAAAGTATTCCTCCTGCAAGTGTTGAGCATTAGGATATTGTGGTACGATTGTTCTACCTGTTCCCTACTTGTTTGTTCGTTTTTCCCAATTAATTAAAGTGACACTATAAACTTGAGAAATCGATGTGCTGTCACGGAGGAAGGACGCAAGGTTCTGCCTTTTGCTGAAGCACAAGCTGACATTCCTGATTTGTATACCGGGTGGAGTTCTGCATTCTTTTTATTCCTGTGAGTGTTGACAGTGATGACAGTTCTTATAGGAGAGACAGTGCTTTGATCACGTGGGTAGCTGGGTATGAGGAGGAAACTTGCATTGAATTATTGTAAGGGACACAATGACTTAGGAAAGCTGGGTGAGTGAATGGGAAACTAGAAATTCTGATTCTTCTGCCCCTTTTCTGAGAAAAATAAAAAAATTTAAAAATGCTGTTGTACTGTAATGCAAGTTATAAAGCAGCTTTGCTGTAAATGGGATCAGATGGAGCCAAATTAAAACAGAAAAAAAACCTGTGAGTGCTTGTTTTGTTATTGTAGAGGGGAAAAAACCCCTAAAATTATGAAAAACTGCCTGATCCGATTCACAAATATTGGTACAACTATGAGGAGCAAGGCACTGTGGTATAAGGGTGGAAACTCCACGAGCTGGTGTAGCTACCAGAGTACTCATACTGTTAAACCACAACCAAAGAAATCCCAGTAAACTTAGCAGAATTTAATTAAAACTTCCAAATAATCCATTCTTGTGGTGGTCAGTTCATTTTGAGTTAGGGGAGAGTAATCGTTTCCAAGTAGTTTGCCTGCAGCAGTGGAATAGACTACAGGAATTTCTTGTTTATGAGTTCTTCATAAATTACCAAATCAGAGTCACATGGCTTTGTATTCTTAAAGAGAATATTAGCTGCTAGATGTTAGTTGCTAAAGGTCATGGAATTATAGTATGAAGAGCTTGTTGTTCAGGCACTACCTTGTCACTTCTTGTTCCTCCATTTAACGAATCGTTAACCAACGTACTATTTAACGCCTCAGGGAAATCTCCGTCTTACTATTCTTTCTTTCCTAGTCACTTTACAGATTTCCGTGAATGAAACAATAGAGATGTCATGTGTTGATTTCCTCAGTTAGTTTCATTTCAGCCATCTGGTGGTGATGTCACATATAATCACCTGCATCTAACAAGCATCTGATAGTTTTCCTTCCTTGGGGACTGAAAATACAATACACATATACATACCAGCTCTGTATCAGGCTGCATTTGTACTACAAACAGTGGTTTGCTATCATGATTCAGATAAATAGGAGACTAGTTCAGCTGTTTTAGTTACTTTAGATCATTTCCTGCAACTTTACTCATCTTCCCAATTAACATGAATACACATTTGGGGTTTTTTCCAAGTTAGCCATTAAAGAGGTTAAGTAGGTTGGGCTCCGTGACTAATGCTTCCTTGGCTCTGACTGTATTTTGCTGCCTCCCTAGAGTATTCCATAATACTTCATTAGCATGCAGGGCATACTCCAAGATTCCTAATTGTAGGACAACACTTGAAAATGTTCTAGAAATCTCAGAGCTCCACAATGAGAAATTCTGGCCTCTGCCCTTTGCATGAAGGGGCAAATACAGAAGTGCTTGTACTGTAACAAGACCACATCTTGCATCAGCATTGTCATTACTAATTCAACTCCCTACTGCTGAGCTTTCATGTTCTGTATTGATTTTTAAAAAAAAATAAATTACCAGTGCCACAGCAAGACTTGGTCAAGATGGCACTATGGCAATTGGATGAGGCTTTTCAACCCCTATAGAGGTTTGTTGTTCCACTAACCAATTACAAAGGTGGTAAACAGTTTTTGTCACTGCTGATGGCTTATCTCAGGCAACAAATGAAAAACACAGTTGCTGAACTATTTTATTACACAAAGTTTAAATGTAATCCTCTTGGTTTAGAAATGTCAGCAATATAAAGAGGTAGCAGCTAAATGGAAACATTATTTGTCAATGAGCAGTAAGCATTTCCCCTACTAGTGTTTAATTGTGAATCATGATGAATATTACCATATTACCTCCATGGATTAAAGTCCTGATCTTAAATAGTCATTTGCATAGAGAATGGGTTTGTTCAGGAGCTGAGGCTTGTCTATATGGACACCTACCTGGACCAAGAAAACTTTAAGTTAGCTTTAGATATCACCTTAGCTAAATTAGAAAAAAAGGTACATATTCTAAGAGTATTCACTTCCAGGGTACTCCTTTGCAATGCTTCTCTACCTAGGGCTATGCTCCAGGTGCTAGTGCTGCAAAGAAAACTGATTGCTTCTCCCACACCTCACTGTAAATAAGAAATGGCACTTACAATGCCTTAGCTAACTTTCCTCTATTGTCTTTTATACTATCCGGTATGCTTCAGCATGGAGGAGCAGAGAGTATATAGATAGTACTAGAGCTGTTACACATTATGGGCATGTTGATTTCTGCTTTCGAGTCAAACTACTAACTGAAAATTAATTTCCTCCTCCTGTATCCTACTCAATTAAAAAAAAAAATATTTAAACACACATACCAGTTTTACTTCCCTTATCTTTTGCAGAGATTTGTGCGTTAAGATTATCACAAACAGGAAGGAATATTCTGCAACCTTCACAGAAATTAGATGCACTAATGGAAGAACCAGTTGCAGACAGCATTATTTCAGTAGAAACTGTAGTTTCCAGACACGGTTGCCCATACGTACCTTCTTTCCC